AGAGCAACAGCACTAAAAGGACAATTATCAGATAGCACTGTTCCCTGCACTAAATAAAATCCATACTGCACCAGGAAAGCACCTTATTGAGGCTGTATCAAATACTGGATCAGGAGTTCTGTAAGTTCAGGGACACCAGAATGAGGAATGAAAATAGGGACAGTTGCAAAGAAGGCATTTCCTGTATCATGGAACATCAACATCCTACTAAATATTTGGACTTGGGCCTAAAATACATAAAAGGACACTCCTCTCACCTCCCATTCTGGCCCTCGTTGATGCATCAGCTGCCCTGAACACTATAAAGAATCGTGTGAGCTATAAATGACCTTGGACATGAAACCTTCTCATTTCTGAGCATCCTCACGGCACATGGGCTGTCTGTCACAGCAGAAAACAGCAAACCCACGTTCTACAACTGTATGACAGCTCCCAGTCCCTGTCTGGAGACAAGCTTGGGGCAGACTGTATGTAGGAATAAACACTTCTCCCCAGATCTTCACAGCTTTTCTCCTCCAGAGTAAGCCAAACTTCGCTCTGATTTTCCATGAATATTCATGGCAATTCACAGGAATCGCAGTCAGGAGCACCATCTCCAGTGTTTGGTGTTTCCTTCAATGACTGAGCCCCTCAGTGCCAAGGGAATGACTGCAGTTACTCTGAACCAGCATGTGTAGCTGTGGAAAATCACTCCTGGGAAGGAGTTCAGGGCAGGAAATGGCTGAGTAATTAGGTGTAGCAAAAACAGGGTAAAAAACAGCAATTTAATCAAACAGACACTCCTGGATCATTGTCACATCCTCTGGGCTCTGTGTCTGATATTCTTCACAGCAATCACATCCAAAAAGGGGCAGATCCTCAAAGCCAGCCTGGCTTGTGCCCAGGAGGGTGAGTRGAAGGTGCTGGGTGCAAAAACTCCCTCTGGCAGGTTAAAACTGAATTATTACAGAAGATAAAAGGTGCTCCCTCAAATCCAGAGTGGTCCTGTCCAACAGAGCTGCCAGGAGCAAAGCCTGGGTGCCTTCCCAGGTGAGGTGAGACCRACTGTGGGCACTGAGATAATGCCATGCCAAGGAAATCTCAAAACATCGGCCCAGCAGAAAATACCATGCTCTAAAGAATCACCCCAGAAGAGATTTTGTTATATTCTGCAGAAGAAGAACAGCTGAACCCCCTGTGAAACAAGTGCTGCATGGTGCTGGTTTGTAGAGCATGCAAAGGTGCTTGATGCTTGTGATGAAGACATAAAATTCCTTTAAAATGAGGAGAAAAAGGAGATTCTCACAGCCAGAAGATGCTGCTCTTGCCATCTCTCAGCTCCCACACATAAAAACATTAATGTAAGATTGCACATCGTGGCTTTGAAAGGGCAGAAAAYTGAGAGATTTCCTACATTCGTGTCATTAGGAAGGATTTTTGTTAGTTTGGGCCTGGAGATACCAGTTTAAATAAATGTTTGGTCCTGAAATAAGATTTTATTTGTGGGCTGTGAGCTCCTTGTGAGGTGTCAAGGAGCACCTCTGTTACTCTGGGCAGAGGTGGCACAGAGAATCATCTCSTTACAGGAGAATCATCCCTGAAAGCCCATTTGGCTCCAGGACTCTCTGCATAAATCTTTCCAAGAGGAAAACTTCCAGCTTCTCTTCCAAAAAAACTTCTGGGTCTTAAAAAGACAAAGATGAAACAACGTGACAATATCTGAAATGGCTGAGACAAAAATGCCTGTGCTGACAGTGCTGTGCCTGCAGAAACCCATCCTTGTGTGAGAGGATGAAACTACTCAGCAACTGAGATAATAAATACTGTAAGAGTGAAATTAGCCTGATTACCAAACACAAGGGAGCATCTCTGGAGTTCTCTCCCAGAGCAAAAAAGCCACCTGAGTGCAGGATCAGCCTCTCCTCAGCTTTTCCCCTGCAGACAGACACAGACCAAGTCACCCTGTGCTTTAAAGAATCTCATCCCACCCGTCTGGGACACATCCACCCCAAAGTGAAGGCAGACAGGACTTTTTTTTCCAGGGACAATGACAGAAACTAAAGACTTGTAATTTCCCTTCTTTTGTGAATCCAAACCTTATGTTCTCCACCTGGAGCTGGTGCTATATGACCTATCATGAAAACCAAGTCATTTTCATAGTCCCTGCTTTCCTAGATGRAGACTTTCATCTTAAAAGATGATCCATATTCTTTGTTCCTGACTACAACACTTGCTTGCCTTCACTGAAGCAAAACACTTTGAATAAATCCACTTCAAGCAGWCCCAATCACTTTGTATAACTGGCTTTTCTAGCACTTTTTGTGTCATATGCAGATTTATTCTTTTTTTTCCATTAACAAACAAAATAGATTAGAAAATTAGGGTAAAAAAAATCCACAAACACTGCTAAGAAAACTTTTTTACTCTTTTTTTCCCCTACAACTTTTAGGAATATCCATTTTCACACAAACACTAAAAAAAGGTTCCTATGAAGAACAGAATGTACAATTTTATGTGAATTACCCCATGGCCATGACATTTATTTGGCTTGAGCTACCAAAGAACACAATTACACCAGAAAACATTTTCCTTATCAAAGAGTGGTATGACTTAATTTGCCTCATTAATTTGCTGTATGATGAAGAGAAACAGCAGAAATTACTTGATGGGTAACAGAAGATGGAGGGCAGAGCAGGAAGAATTTAAAATTAAAACTCAATTTTGCAGTAGCCACAAAATGACCTGGAACACGTGTGCAGTAAATACACCAGGTGCAGCAGCATGAGATTCCTGCCATGTCCTGACAAGAATAACTCCAGGGGTGTCTAGAACATCCTAATTAGGTGGACAAAATCAAGCTTCATGCTGCCTCTCCTTCTGAGGAGACATGTCCAGACCATGGGGATTGATGCTGAAAAGTGTTTGTGGATGTGTGTGCTCGGSAAAAAACATCCCCACAGCTAAATCTGCAAGATTTTGTCAGTCAGAACTCCAAGAAAAATATTTTTTTGAAGTCCCTAAGCACTATTTCCCAAATCAAAATCAAAGAAGACGTCAGATTGAGTCTCTGCAGTCAGTTCATGTCYAAGGGAATTATTATTCTCCATCTAAATAAGATCGAGCGATCACCATGAAGTTTGAGAAGAATATTASAGACCACAGGCTGGTGCGTGCTGGCGCTGTGAAAAATGAGCAGCTCATCAATTCCAGGCACTGAATTCATTCCCAACCCATCCCAGGGCTTCAATTTTGCAAAGAGATGCAGGAATTAACAATTCCCTTCATATGCAGGGAACAGAGGGGTGGAGGAGCACAAACCACAGCACTCAGCTCCACTCTGATGGAGAAGGCAAGAGCAGACACACACACAGATCAATAAGAAACACATTTTGACCAGCACAATGGTTAATTTGATTGTTCTTACCAAAAGAAAAACAAATATCAATAYCTGAGTGAATTGAAAATGCAGGAGGAAATGCTACCACCATGATCTTTAGCGTGCTTGGA